AGCTGCGGGTGTGGGCAGCGCTGGTCAGTGCTGCCTGCCCTGGGGACGAGCGTGCTGACTGCTCGGGAAAGCTAGGTTAGAAGTGGTAGAACATGGACTGTGAGACCTGCTCTGTTCTAGCTTCTCCTGTTCATGCAGAGATACAGAAAATCAAAATCGAGCCTTCTCCTCCACAAAGAAAAAGCAGCACTCAATGGTATCCATATTTATTTATTTTTCTCCTCAGAGTATGTAGTGCAGTTGATCCCCAGATGTCAGCAGAAACTTCTCAAGGGCAATTAAAGTGAGTCAGACTGTGGGAGCGTTTGTTGTGCTGAACCTTATATTTCTCTTTCTACTCAGCTGAGTCAGAAGAACTGCATAGTGAAGAATCTGAAGAGGTTTCGGAAGCAGTTAGAAAGAGAAGCAGGAAAGCTTGAGGCAACAAAATGTGCCTTTATTCCAAAGACCTTCAAAATGCCTTCAGAGTACTATTTGTTTGTGGAAGAATTTCGCAAGAATCCTGGCATCGCTTGGATTCTGAAACCAGTAAGTATGTGTTCTTCCAAGGAAAGTGAGACAGAGATGAATGGATGCCTTCGTTCTGCAGAGGGAGAGGAAAAAGTGCAGGAAATCCACAAGAAGAACTGGGCATAGCAGGGTGGCTAGGAGCAGCAGTGCTCCTGGCCAGTTTCCTGGTCAACACATACTACCAAAACACTTTTTCTTGTGCAACAATTTATTTCAGCAGTCAAAAGAGAGGTCAGTTTATTTGTAGAGCCAAAATTAACTCTATGGTGAAGGTATAAAGTGCAGAGTTCTTGTGTGGAGGAACAGATTGTGCTCCCAGGGGTTCTCGCTGTGGGGTTACAGGCAAATTCATGCTCTGAAATCTTTCAGTTCAGCTGCAGGTGTGCAAGAAAGTGTGTGTGTGCTGGGCAGCTATCTAGCTGGGCTTCTGGTTAAGCAGCGTTCTAGGGCAGCCCCTAAAACTGGAGCTATGAAAACATCTGTGTGGTTTTAGGGAAATCCCACTACGTTAGATGACAGCCCGTGTAAGTCCAGCCAACTTACTGAGCAGACTGAGAATGTGAAGAGATTATGGGAGACTGCATGAGCAGCCTGGAGCGCAAGTTGGGGTGGATTTGATTGGCATTAGCTTCTCTCTGCTCTGCAGTTAGAGACCTGAAGTGTAGCCTCATGCTCTGAATCACATTTATCCCCCCAAACCTGTAGCTCCCTGGAGCTGTGCTGAACGCAGCAACTTCCACTTCAGCCAGTGTCCTAGGGACCAAGGAAAAATTGTGTTTCCTTTAGAAATTATGATAATACAACGTGATGCTGAGAAATGCCATGCTTCTGCTGGATGATTCAAGCCATTCAACATCATGAGTATCGTGCCGTGGTGCATAATTAAAAATACTGTGAGACCTGCGAGCGAGCAGTCGCTTTGCTTTGCGCAGCAGGTCTGGTGAGGAGGCTGGGACAGGAGGATTCGCCTTACCCTGTGAGTCAGGCCCCTGGGTAAGGGCACACTTGTGAGAAGTGAATGGGAGGTAATTATGCAAACTAACATGTGAATTACAACCAGGAGGATAGCAGCTAGTGATTATCTAACTCTACAAGGGGGAATGTGTTAACTGACAACAAAAACCCTTATATTAAGCTGATTTTTTGCCCACAACCTCAATTAACATGGTAAATAACCAGAACACAGTAAACAAGGATATATGAAAAGCCTGTGATTACTGAGATTATACCAACAACTTAAATGGAATAGTTTGTGGCTGACCTCAAAACTCACAGACAAGTAAAAATAAACTCTGTGTTACTCCGTCAGTCTGTGCTCTTGAGCAGCCCTGTGTTGTAATGTCTCAGGTTGCCTGCTCCCGCACTCACATGCAGTAGTAGGTCAGGACGTGCACAGTGCCACATCCTGGAGCTGAGGAGTCTGGGCCTCCTTGGGAAGGCACCCTGGGGAGCCTTGCTTCTCGGGTGGCTTATCTGGGCCACTCGTCACCCACTTTTAATACATCGTGCAGCCTAGGCTGTCTTCAGGATTGTTATGTTCTTGCTTGCCATAGTTCTCTGACATCTTTCATGGCTTTCCTGTTTAATTAAGTTCTTCTATAATGTACACAAATTTAAAATGTGACTTAACAAAATTCCCGACAACATATGTTGCGTTACTTCTATTTCTGCAAGCATGTGACAGAGTTTGTTTATTCGGCGCTGTGGAACTTCCCCATAGGCTGGCTGCTTGCTCTGCCCTTTCCTCCAGGAATCCTCCTAACGCTTACGAATCTGGGCGTTTCGCACTAGAGGGCTGTTGTTGGATCCTGCTGCCCCCATAACCTTAGATAAATGTGCTTGCATAAAACAGATGATGAACCAGGTTATGCAGGGCTTCTACACTGAAATTCTGGGAAAGAGCGGGAAATACTAACGTTAAAGCCAGTAACTCTGCTCTTCCATCTGTATGTTGACAGGGCACAAGGTGAAGGAATCTTCCTGTTCTGAAAACTGAAGGATATCGTTGATTGAAGAAGGTGAGAACAACTCTCTGTCTTCTCCTTGGGGAACACCCAACAGGCATTTTGGTTTTTTAATCTTATTTCATCCTCTCCTTCTGCCGGTGACTTGTTCTGTTCTCTTGTGGCTGTCTCGTGTAATACTCCTTCACCGTTCCCCAGGTCAACAACAAAGTTTCCTACTGTGGCTTTTCCCAAATTGTCAGATACTTTAGCTGGGATCTGACTTCTTATACTTTGTGTGCATGTTTATATATAAACTTCTGATCTTAGGTAGGTCTAACACCAGGCAGCAGTATCAGCAACTGGGTTATATTATACACTTCTCTGCACTTCATAGGTTGAAAGTTTGACTTGGGAGTTTATGTTCTAGTGACATCTGTAAGTGCAAACCACCATTCTTATGCCAGAAATGCATTTCCTTGCCTTCACACCCAGTTGCTCCTTTCTTCTCCCAGTACATCCCACTGAAGGCCTGGTTATACAGAGGTGGATTTGCTTTTCTAATACATGATTTACTCTGAATAACAGAGATGATTGCTGTATCCATGCCTGTGTGTGCCATAAAGAAGGGTAAGAAAAGGAATGTATAATTCTACTGCTTGGTATTAGATGCATCAGATGAACCTTGTCACTTCTGACTCCTGCAAACACCTACAGGATTCGGCTGTCCTGTTGCTGCTGCTGTCTCTCTCCTGTCTCTCCCCTGTCTTTTTTCATTGGAAAACTGGTGTCACCAGATCACTGGAAATGTCAGTTTGACAAATCAGCTAGGACCAAAGCTGAAATGTCAGTCCTGGTTTTATTGTTAGTGGTTGATGTTGGCAGCCTTTCTTCTTCCTCAGCTTTGCAGAACCTAAGGACAGGGTGATTCATGGGAGAGAACTATTTGATTTCTTATATGTCACCCTTGCTACTGGATTGAGTTTGATAGCTTTCATTTGATTAACACATCTTCCCAAAAGGTATCCCACCTCAATTTGATGGCTTAGGAGACAGGAAAATCCATCACTTCCCTCTGTGAAAGTTCAGCAGAGTTCATGCTTGCTCTGAATGATCAAAAGCCTTTCCAGAGTGAGGGTACAGCAAGCTGTCTTGGGTGAAGGTGCACTGAGGTTTGGAGACATGCTGACATGAAAAGCTTCATGCCAGCCATGAGGCACAGTACTAGCTCAGGCCAGTCACTCTTTCATTTTCCAGATACCACTCTTGATTACTCCTGATTTTTAATTTTTTCCTGCAATTTTTAGTAAGATACCATCATGCAGTATTGGATTTAAGCTTAGGTGGCTGAAGCTCAGGTGACTGAAGCCTGTGATTACAGACAGGGAAGAATTAATTGGCACTGGGGCAGACGAGGACTGTTTAGAGTGAGAATTCCATATTTGCTTGTTCAGTGTCTGTCTGTCTTTGATCCTTATCTCTACTTCATTCCAGATGTTCATCTCACAGATGTGGCAGTGCAAAAGACTGCACCTGATGATGATCCCGGGAAGGTGAGGGATACGCACTGTCTGCAGACTATTCCCCTGCTGCCTGCCACTGGGGCTCTTTGGCAGATGCAAGCAAGCTGACCTCATCCTGCCAGCTGCCGTGCCGTGGACGTGTGCTGCAGCCACTTAACTGTGCTGCCTTCTCTCCTGATACCCATAAATGTGGTTTCGTTGATAGCAGCTTTAGGAGAGAGGCTGGGCGAGCGTTCTGCTTTAATGTTGCTTTGCAGCTGTCTGTGCATCTATAAGGCTGATCTTTTTGACTTTAAACCTAATAACGTTCTGGTTAGTGCTCTTCTGAGATGTAGATACCTTATAGCTTAGCCCTTCGCTTCTAAGACCTCAGCGGTACACCAAGGTTGACATTGCTGCACACAGCTGTCTCTGTTAAGCTTCCTCTCTCGAGAGGTGGCAGCTGAGAGAAAGAGAGAGGGAGGGGAAAGAAAAACTTTAAATGGGATGTCAGATTCCTCATGAATCTGAGATGAGGGTCAAGGTTTGAGAGTAATGGAAGATGGTGTTGAATTTCCCATTTTATGGGCTGCTCCTTTCTATAGATCTCTCTTGTCTGTATGGAAAGGAGGGTCTTTGCAGTACCCTGATAGAAGAGAAGATGTTGATTGCTGTTAGGGAACTTCTGATGGAGACCTGGGGACTTTTTTCCTATAGCTGTACAGTAGTCAAGCCTGAAGAGTTTAACTGCATTGTGGGGCTGGTGGCCCCTACCTTCTGGTCTCTGGCTTTTTACTGAGTTCTTGCTGGGCTGTGGAGACTATAGGGTGATGATTGAAAAAAAAAATCTGGACTAAATGTGCGGTCATCTGTTTGGAACAGCTTAGTATGGTTGTGTTTGGATGTCTCAGGGCTGCAAGTGGGTGATTCAGCAGCTTGGACAGCTCTTGACTGCCAAGTGTGGGGCAGGGTTGGTGGAAGTTCTCTGTGGATATGGACAACGCTTTCATCCACAGCCTCCAGAGTGCTCAGAAGGTGATTATCAGTGACAGACACTGCTTTGAGCTCTATGGCTGTGACATCCTGATCCATCGGGATCTGAAACAGTAAGGGTGTTAATAAACATACAAGGGGTTATAGCATCAGGCCAGCTGCTTCCCCTGGGACAGGGGTGTCGTGATGCTTCTGCATCTTGTAGGTAGATGCTTGCAGGCTGGCTGAGAGTGAGCCAGTCTGGAACTGCAAGTGAAGTGTAGAGAGGTTTGAACTGTTTGACATGAAGGGAGCTGCCGTCTGGAAGGATACAGCTGCTTTTGCTCGGAGTATCAGGGTTTATTAGCTGGGTGCAGCACCCTGTGACTTTGTCTGTAGGACCTCTAGCACTGTGTTGTGAAACCCTGCCAATTGGGCTATTTCTGGAATATGTTCCCCTAATATGTTATCAGCATATCACAAGTATCACAGCACTTGCCAGAGATGGAAGGTTACCATCATCTTTTCTCTTGCTTATGTATATTACAGCAGTGCCCCATCAGCATTGATAAACCTCAGCTGGTGCCATTTAGCTGCCAGCACTAAACATAACCCGTGTCTGTGCTACACTGGCTAAAAGACAGACCCCAACTGAAAGAGATCCCTCCTGCTACTTGTGGAGAAAAGGACTCCACAGGAGTTGAGGGTATTTAAAACAAAACTACAAAAAAACCCCCTTTAAAACATAATTTGACCCTAGATTTTTTTTTTAAAATACAGTTTTTCTCACTGGCTAAGTGAAAAATACGTATCATTAAAGTTCAACTGAAATTCTCGAATTCTATCTGCTTCGTACGCAACCCAAGTATTGCAACAGCAGGAACCCGAGACCGCAACTGACTTGTCATTACAGGAGTTGAGAAAAACAGAAACAGCAAATAGTACTTCAGAAATGACATGCAAATAGGATTATTATTCTTTCAGCCTTAATCATGTACAGTGCAGTACCATAGGTAAGGAAATTTCCCTTAGATATGATTGATGTTGACAGTGCTCTCCTAACTAAACGTCTTCTCTGATTTATTTTCTTTAACTCTTCCCTCTAACAAGACGTGGTAGCTGGTATACCTGTTACAGCCTTGTGTCCTGTCAGCATCAATCCAATATTTCACATGGTGCCACTGGGGACAGCTTTATTTCAAATGAGCAAATAAATGCAGCACAGCTGTGCTCCTAGCTAGCTCTAATTTGCACAATTTACTCTGTTCGTAGCCTCAAACCAAATTGCTGTTTAGGCAGCCTGCATGTAAAGAGCTGGAGTAACTGCAGTTGGTCAGGAAACAACTGAATCGGAATGAAAGTCCTCGATGTCGTCACAGCGCTCAGATACCGCTGCTGGGCTCTCGTAGGAGAGCTATTTGAACATTGTGTTGTGCTAGGAAACTGTTCCCAGGAGACATCCACATTCCACCACTAAAAAAGGGTTAATGCTCATTCTGTGAATTCTCCTCAGCTTTTACTGCTTCAGCTAGACTTTGGTTTTCACTTGTATGGCTTTCTGGAAGCTAGAGGGATTTTTTTCTTTAGTACCATCGAGAACAGGAATAGAAACTTTGCAATAAGCTCAGAATGTTCTTTGGCTAGCCGCATGGGAAAGAGATTTAGGGTTGGATTTCCTATTGCTTCACACTTACTCCTGCCTGCTAGCAGGGTAATGATTTTGTGGACAGGCATTTCTCTTAGATGAGCCATTGGCAAAACTGCCTGTTTCTCCCTAATTTACTGTTGTATTTCCTCAGCTGGCTTCTGGAGGTGAATGCTTCATCCTCCCTCACTGCCAGTAGCCAGGAAGACTGCGAACTCAAGTGTCATCTACTCAAAGACACACTTCATATTGTGGACGGGGAGGGCAGGCAGGCAAAGATGTTTATTACCTTCTAAGGGTTTTTATTAAAATGTTTGGAATGGGTGGTTTGGTTCCATGTCTTGGCAACTGATCATAATACTCTAACCTTTATAGCAACTAAATGATGAATTTCCAGAAACTGAGCAAAGTAAGCAAGCACGCTGCCACTTCAGAGTGGGAAAACAAAACAGCACAGGGCTGCAAAGGGAATGGAGTCTGTGTCGGAGCTGGGACTTGCACAAGAGCTCTCTTTCAGAGGCTCTTCTGCATTGCGCCTCCCACACTTACCACTTCTGGAGCACTCTGTTCCAAGCAGCTTGTCTTGCAGCATTTTGTGATTGACTTTACAACTGTGCTAACCTCAGATATTAATAGTAGAAAGATGTCCACTGCTTTCAGCTGTTCAGCTTTGTCTCTGATTGTCTGGGAGTTTATTCCTGTGCGCAGTCAGATAATTGTCATTGCTCAGGTACTTCAGTACGTGTATTTGATGTTGTAGGCTGATGGGGAAGGAGAAGCGTGTTGGAGGCTTTGACCTGATACGGAACGACAGGCCTGTCAGCAGCGGGGGAAGCCTGGGTACTCTGGTGAATGAGAACGTCATGGCAAACACACATTTAGGTGTGTACTCATCCAGCGCTGGCAGGGTGCCCTGCTCACGTCCCTAAGCTGTCTGCACATCAGCAAGAGGAGAGCACACACCTTTCACTCGAGAACAGAAGAACAAGAACGGGCTTGTGGGCTTTTAGGGGATTAAGAGACCAAAAGGAGCAAATGCTTTCCGAAAGTGGATGTAAGCGACCAGGCTGCAGGAGCACTGTTGAAAACAAGCATGTAAACGCAGTGGGAACAGTTTTGTTCGTAGTCTGCTTTCCAAGCATTAAGTCACAGCAGAGTTCTTCATATGCCAGCCTTGCTGCAAAATCCACTCTACAGTCACTATGGTGACTTCAGGCACTTTCCTGAAGCTAGTTGTGTATTTTACTGTTGGGAAGTAGTACTTGGATTCTGAAGAGAGGATGACATGTATCATAGGTACTCAACTCAGTGTGCCTACAGTCATCTCTGGCCGTAGTTTCTAACTAGCAAAACACGAGTACAGCTTCACCTGAAAGTGGGACATTACCTCACCTCTACAGGAAGGAAGAGTAAGGTGATGTGTCACTCCCCTGTTAATGTTTTCATTGCAGGCTGCTACAATGACAGGAAGAAACAACTGAAGCAGCTTTTCAGTAATGCTGATCCCAAGCTTGGGTGGGAGAGATCACCGTGGATGAAGTTCGCGCTCTCTTCCTCATAATGTGCAGTGGCAGTTCCCACCTCTCCCTGGACGCTGCTGGCCCAGCACGAGATGCTGGCCTCCTTGCTTCTGAAGGTTTCCCAGCTCGGAAGCTGCAACAAGCTCGAATGAAGTATTTCATAATGACTGACAGAAGGGATGCTGGCTTCTCGGCTGTCCATCTGCACTCGCACAGCATAGTTCTGTACCGTGTAAGAAAATAAAGGGGCGAAACACATTCTGCAAAGCAAAACAAAGCTTTTAGGGAAGGCAGGCACCTGATCCTTCTACTGCTACTACTATGGAAACATGTCAGAGCAGAAAACCTGTTGCCATGATACTGTAAAAATAACCTCGCCATCACATGTTACGGAGACGTTGACTAGCTGTACTACACAGGTTATGTAAGAGAGTGACTCCAACGCAGGGATGGTGTATGGCCACTCGCTTCCAGAAGAGATGCAGTTTTCTGAAAAAGCTACAGGCAAGACAGTTCAGGTATTAAGTCAATATTATTTTTAACCTGTGTATCTGAAACTTAAGCCTGAAGTGGACAGCCTTGCTTCTTGCAGTTGAACATTTAGGGTTCACGCCGTTAACTACAGAATTTCAAAACTTAGATGAAGCAATGGTAGTTGGCTTTTTAGATTTAACGAAATCACAGCTCAGTTTTAAGGAGTCTGAAACAGGGTATTTTTGGAACTCTCTATAATCTGAAGAGCGTGTGGAACCGGACAAGGCAGTGCCGGGCTGCCTGGAGGAGGCACCTCTGCCCTGTTAGGCTGGAAGGCGGTCAGGGAGCCAGGAAAACAGTGGTGCTGTGTTAGTTCTGCATGGCTATGCGGAAGGGACGAGAGCGAGGGATCGGGCCTAGCTCTGCGTTAGGCATGCAAGGTTTGACAGAATGGATGAGAGCCAGAGAAACAAGGCCAATGGCTGGGTTTAAAGTTTCAAAATTCTATCCAGAAATATCTTTACGGAAGTTCGAAAAATAAAAGGCTTGGCAGGACCCAGACACTTTCCTGTACACAGAAAAAAATCAAACTCACTGTAGTCCATTACTAATTAGAATTAATTCTTTTTAAATCTTAACCAAGGTCTTAACCAAGTTGTGCTGGGGTAGCAAGTTCAGACTAAGGAGGGTAGTGTAGAGGACAATAAATGTTAAAACCTTTGAAGAAACCGTTACTGGTTAAATCAATAGTCCTTTTACTACAAGACAGGCTCAGTGACTAATCCCACTCAGCCCTCTTCAGGCTGCTTTTTTAAAATATGCATACAGTTTATATACATTTTATCCCTTCCTCTAATTTTGGAGGCCTCCTTTCTGTGGTCTCTTGCCTTCCAACTTAACAGTAGAACATGTTTTCCCAGCAAGACTAAAAGGATGCTCCCTCCCCCGTCCCTCCCTACACATCTTTAAAGAGATTCCCGACGTGCTTCAGATGTATAGCTTTGCTTTGTTTTAATACCAGAAGCGCGCACAACTCCTCTTCTGTGCTTTGGGCACGCTGTGGATTCCCAATTCCTCCTACTCCTGTTCCTGACACAACAATAAACCAGCTCTGAAGCCAAACTCCAGAAGCACTCGCATAAAAACCCAACAAGGAACACAGACACACAGAGTTAGGAATGCCCCACTGCTCTGATTTTAATAATCCCACTTCCACCCCGGCCACAGGCATTTGCCCAGCGCTGTGTCCCAGCCCGTGCCTCAGCACAGCTCCGCTGCCCGGGCTGCAGCAAGGAGCAGGAAGGGTTCGTGATCCAAGGAAGGAAACGGCAGCGTCGTAGCTGAGGAGCCAAACGCTTCCCAGCGCCTGCCAGGGACCTCACCCAAGGCGGGCTCCGGGCACGCCAATGTCCTCCTGCAAACCCCGAAGGCTGCGGTTATTGCAGTGTGAGCTCCACGGGTGACAGCCCAAATACGCGGCGTGACGATGGCACGGCCACCTCAGCCCTCCAGGATGCGATTGATTAACTTCATTTCCTCAGCGGTCATGGGGTTCAGGTTAAATCCCTTCAGCTCAGCTTTACCTGAGAGAACACACAGAAAAATTAGGATTTTGCTACAAAATAAGTGAAGCAGTCCACGTGAAACTCTAGAGGGGCTGTGGGGAGGGCAGGGACAGCCCTGGAAGCTGATGCGGGGTCACCCTGGTGTGATGTGGGAGCCCGTTTAGCGTGCTGATGGGCGACGGCTCCGCACCAGGAGCCGTACAATACTGCTGGAACCAGGAAGGAATTGCAAAGCCAGTGGGAAAGCGGCTGCAGGAACACACAGAGCTCAGGAGTTTCTGGACCCTCCCAACACAACATCTGCTCCCAGATACTGAGAACATTCCAGAACAGGGGCGTTTACCTTGAGCTTCGAAGAGGCGGTTGACCTTCACGCGCAGCTCTTTCCGGAGGTTGTTTATCTCCTCATCCAGATGTTCCTGGTCTGAGACAAGCGAGACAGGAGTGAGGAGGACTGTGGGCTCTGGGGTGCAGGCTACTGGACCCTCCCAACACAACATCTGCTCCCAGATACTGAGAACATTCCAGAACAGGGGCGTTTACCTTGAGCTTCGAAGAGGCGGTTGACCTTCACGCGCAGCTCTTTCCGGAGGTTGTTTATCTCCTCATCCAGATGTTCCTGGTCTGAGACAAGCGAGACAGGAGTGAGGAGGACTGTGGGCTCTGGGGTGCAGGCTAACCCTCCCGCGGGACGCTCGGCGTGGAAGCCCAGGCCCGGGGGGCAGGAGGAGGCTCTTCCCCAGCTGCCTCGGGGTCCCACCCTGCCCGCGGGGCTGAGCCCCAGGTCGCTTCGTGCCCAAATGTGCT